TATCATATATATATATATATATATATATATATTTCTCAATATGTATGTATATATATATATATATATATATAGTTGTCTTATTGTTTGACTGTTGCTTTTTTGTTTGTTTTTATTTTTGTACAGCACTTTGGTCAGCTGCTATGTTGTATTTTAAGTGCTTTAGAAATAAATTGGCGTTGTATGGTATTAAATCTGTTCCAATTACCAGTTCGAATGTGTTTAACCCATAAGATATATTTTAACTACATACAGTACATGACAAGAAGCCAGAAGTTGAAGCCACAAAGGAATGAGGGCACCCTAGTAGGCAAGGTGCAGTACAATTTTTAGGTCCTGGCCCTTAATGTAAACAAATGAGACATTTTCCTGAGTAAAAATTAAAAATACACCATTTATTTTTTAGATGTTTATCTTTTTGATATACACAGTTCTTACCTTGCAAGTAAGTTCTCATATGCGTTATCTAATATGTTTATTTTCAGTTAATTATTTGCGACTTAAAAAAAAAAAGTCGTCACATACTATGGTACACATTATGTACTGTATGTATTATGGCAACCAGTTAAAGAGTAAAGAAGGTTTGTAGGTGGGACTTTCTTATCAATGGTACAGCCAGCATACAGTATACTTTGGACTCAGTTTTGGACAATGGAAGTTAAAGAAGTGAAAATGTGGTCTTGCAGATTGATCCCAAGGCCAGAGGAGGAGGCTCAATTTGGTCGTCAATGAGGATTATGACAGAAGCAGTGTATATGCTCACATCTGAGCACACAGATGGCCAGCAGAGAAGTGGATTATCCTGCATTAGTTATTTGCAAAGTGTCTTTGGACCTTTTTTAGGAAGCATATCCACTGTGTCAGCATCACTCCAATGACCACAAACTTTGCTGTAACTTTATCATCGAAACTTCCCCCAATACTTGAATGACTGATCCTAAAATAAAACAACAAACTATAATCTGTTTTTACTGTGCAGTGACAAAATATGTTTGAAAATGATCCAACACAGACTTAACTGAGCATTTAAAGTCCAAAGTAACCACAGCTGGTAAAAACAAACCAAGTTAATGATGCTGAAATGTAACCATCTGCAAAAAAACACTCAAAAATTGACTTCTGATTTTTTTACTATATTTTTTATTTTGTCCAATAAATTGTTCACTTTCTCACATGTGTGATGTAGACAGACGTCCATGCACACGGACACGGACTGACCTTTGTTGTCATGAGCCATTTGTAGAGCTTGGAGGGAAATCTGTGGATTGATCTCCAGCTGACACACCAACACTTTTGCTTTTCTGATGGCTGGAAGAGCTTGTTGTAGCTCTTCACTGCCCAGCAGCATGTTAGCACCAGCCACAATCACAATAGCATTTTCACCTGGACACCCAAAAAGATGTGAGCATACAAAATTGGCTTTTAAGATACATGTGTCAACACAAGAATTCCCAAGTACAAACACATGGAGTTTTATGAGAAACTGTGGTGGTTTATTGCGTAATCCAGACCAAAATGATTCTAGGGAACATGAAAAATGTTTTCATGTTGTTTTATTACCCTAGGACTCATTGCACTGGTAATTTCAAACTACTAAAACCAGTTGCAACGCATGTATAGTATTCCCCTTTTAAGACCACATTTAAATGTTTTCCCTTTTAAGTTTAATACAATATGAAAGTTTAAACTGGTGTCAAAGACTAAAAACCATAAACGATAGCGCAAAAGCAATATTTATGATAAAAACTCAACGGTTAAACTCTCAAATATATACACATGTATTTTTTTTTCATCTTATTTCAGAAGTTAGGACTGATTTCTAAGAAAAATGTCAAACTTCAATAAAATGTTCTACAAAAACAAGCATTACAAAAACATGATCAGATCTTCTGGAACAAGCTATTTCCTATTGTTTAAAGAAAACCTTAAATGTAAACCTAATTTTAAACCCAAAGTTGTGTTAATGCAAACAGATTGTGATGAACTGATTAAAAACATACATAATTTAACCAATATAATGTACATTACAAGCAAGTACAAGCCCTGGAACTACTGATAAAAATGCTGCGCATTCTTTTAACTGTGTGTGTGAGAGATTTATTCACGGATTCCAATCTCATGAAAAGGTACTACTTAAATGTAGCGTACAGGGGTGTATTGTGTGTGTGTGTTATAGTAGAAAAGGCCATGCTGATAGCCTACAGATACTCTCTGCTGTGTATGCATGAAATCATTTCTACAACTCAAAGAGCTTTTAGACTCTCAGCAGGGCAGTATAGGTTAGCGTTTACCTGCGTCGTTGACGGTGATTGAAGCAGCTCCTGTGGCTGCATCTGAAGTCTGCCAGACAAAGTCTGAAACAGAGAATAAAGATGGACCAAACTTTAAAAACATCCAATATTTCACTTTTCTGCTAAACAAGTTTATTCTAAGGTCTCAAGACTTGTATCACACACATCTAGAAGACAAAATGTTGGCATAGTAACCCATAACAAGAGCTTGGTATGCAGCTGGCTAATAACAGTTTACAGAGTCCTTAGTACTTTTGAAAAGCATCTTTGTAAGAAACAGTTTAAAACCATTGACTATAAGATTAAAGCAAACATGCCAGTGTATCCCAAAGCCTTACCTAAAATGATGAAAGGCTATAAAAGCATTGCTCCTAATGTGAGCTTTTTGCAGGGCACTGTAGAGATAGCAACTAATTTAGGCTGTGTTGTAGAAAAGAACTAATCCTACCTGTATACACATCATTGTCCTTGAAATTCTGGATATAATTTTCTCCAAAGAAGTCTTTACCAACCTAGAAGAGATTCAAAACAAAACAATTCCAACAAAGAGAGTGTCAAGTAGGGTCAGACTTGGTTAGCGGCAACTTTTGAAAAGTGAAATGCTCAATTCTCTGTTGGGCTAGATGGTTGTGTGCCCTGCCAGCATACTGGCATGGTGCCGTTGCCGAAAATGTGCAAAAACGAACAAACAAAGCTAAAAGATGCACACACTTGCAAACACACGACCAGCTGCGCCAAGCCTTGAAGACACAATAACCCCGCCTTCACGCCTCTTCATAACCACCTCGCAATCGTTTTCCTTCCCTCCTTTCCCTCTTTCCCTTATTCGCTCTGGGATGTCCACATCTGTAGCTACGTTGGGTTGTCGAAGGGGTCCCCACCTTGCCCCAAGGCATCTACTTCGAACCCACGCTTTCTAAAAAAACTTGCCAGAATGCAAGCATTTCTTGCTGCCTATGATAAAGGGTTGGGATGGTATTGGCTGCTTGGCCTCATTCCCTTTAAAGAGTGGCCTTTCGTCTTGGATGTTTTTTGACATGCCTGGGTGTCTATTTTTGGGTTCTCCCCATGCCCGGAGAGCTCCTCCTGCACTAGTTTGTTATCGATCAGGCCTCTTTGTTCTGACAGAGGTGGGGCTTTGGTGTTTTAGTGCTCAGGTTGAAAAGCCATACTGAGCTTACTGATTGGAGACTCGAGGTTAGATGGTTTGGGAATAGGGTTGTTTGAAGGTGCACAAGCGTGAGTGGGCGAATGCATGTACTAAGTTATTGATCATGAGAAAACGAGGCATGGACAGTTGATGTTAAAGAGTGACTGAAGTGTGAATGAGGCTAAAATGTTTGTTTTTAGAGTTGTTTGGTAGTTGGTGCGCTATAGTAGCTAATAGATGATTGCTTTTACTGAGTAAGACATGGACAAGCAAATGTACTTTCCTTTATAAGCAGAAATAATGATGCAGGAATCAAAACTAAGCCACACACCAACTCACAAACAGCACAGCAGCAGTGTTTGGCTGCAAACTTTATGACGAGGTCAAACCTTGCAGATCATAGCAGTTTTGACTCCCAGTCTGGCAGCCTGAACACACTGGTTGGCCCCTTTCCCACCAAAGCCAATGAAGAACTTGTGACCATGAATGGTTTCCCCTGCTTTGGGTAGCCTTGGTACCTGGCTGTGGGAAAAAAAACACAAAAAAAAACGACAAAACATTGGCCATATATTAAATTAGATTACCTTCATACCGACCATTGACTATGGTGACATTTACATGAATGCCCCTGCCAGATGTTGGATGCTGTCTACCATGGCGCACTAAGATTCATAACTGGTTGTAACTACCGTACCAATCACAGCACTCTGTACTCTCTGGTCAGTTGGTCATCATTATCTACATGAAGGCTCTCACACTGGTTCATTTTCATCTATAAATCCCTCCTTGGTCTGCTACCTTCTTTATAGCTCCTCCCACATGTCATGTCGTCAGTGCAGTTACAACATGCGCTCTCAGACCATCATTACCTGCAGCGTTCCCTCAGTGCGGACTGAAATTGGCAAAAAGGCCTTTTCCTACTTAGCTCCTGCAACCTGGAACACCTTACAACAGGAACTGAAGTTGTCCACCTTGATTTCTTTAAGGGATTTCAAACATTTAATGTTAATAGAAAAAAATTCAAGCAAATATTTTCTTGTTTTTAGTATTTCATCCTGTTTTATGGCACCCTGATTTGTTGTTTTGTACACTACTCTTATTTTAACTGCATTTGTTATTGTAGTTCATTGCTGTATTGTCTGTTTTGTTGTCTGTACTTCATATGTTCTGTCTGGAACAGGCCCTTCTTGTAAATGAGTCCCTGTGACTCAGTGAGGCAAGCCTGTATAAATAAAGGTTGAATGAAAAAAAAAAAAAGAGTGAATGTGCATATGACAAACAGATACGAAAAGATTTGTGAATTACTTCATCACCTGAAGTAGACAAATGTGCAAATAATCCAAGAAGCTAATTCGATAAATACTTCTACTTGTCACTTGACACAATAGATAGCAATGCCTGACTCATCGGTTGGTAAAGTCTTACCCCTCTGGAAGCTGATATAACACAGGTGGGTATGGGAGGAGCTGGTAAACTGAATCTTACAATCTCAGAGCAGAAGCAGAAGGTGAGTAACATAATGGTGAGACAACCAACAGCCTTATGTTGGATCAGAATTCTGTGGTTTGGCCCAGGGCAGTACTGGCTGGGGCCAGAGGGTTTGTGTATGGCAAAATGTTGTCATAAACTTGTTTTCAACCCTGTTGATGCACTTTTTTAGGCTTGTGTGTGAGCGTGTTTGTGGCAGGTGTGCTATTCCTGTAAATTCACTCAATCTCAGGATTTCCAGTAACTGAGCAGCTTGTTGTTAAAACGCCACTGTTTTTGCACTGCCCTGTGAAAACACACACACACAAAAGACCCAAAGCTATAACAGGATGTATGGTCACTGAAGCTAAAATATGGCTAAAAGGGAAATATGAGCAAAGGTTGTACACATGAAAAACACACGCATTACATATCATTTGCTCTACGACTGAATTTGCTTTAGAAAACTAACAACCTGCTTTTAACTATAAAATTAATAATATTATTAGAAAGAATTGTGCTGTTAGATCAAACATTTTGTATTAGATTTTATTCATATACACTATTTGTTAGAAGCTATGTTGGATTTGAAACAGGGCAAAAAACACAAACACCAACTATGTAAAACTCAAATTTTCTTGCAGAAATATTTACTAAATGTATAAAACAGAACCAGGCAGGGAAAAATGTAATAAATAAATAAATTTAAAAAACACACTAAACAACCATATCAACAACAAGGTTAAATGGCAAACACAATGCAAATTCAGTATTCAATAGTTGGTTTGAGACTAGAATGAGAAGTAAATTAACAGGAAGCACAAGTTGGAAAGCTCTACAAAATAAAACAGGAAGTAAAGCTAAATCATGAATAGACAGAGAGAGAATGTTTCAAAAGAAAAAGAAAGAGAACTACTATTGTACAGACATAAATCAAAAATAAAAAAGGTTTAAGTATAACAAACAAAACCAACAAATTGAACACATCATATAGTGCATATTTTGTGTTTTTGACATACTGTAAGGAGAAAATCATTCAGACTCAGCCGTTAGGAAGAAGTTATCTTGAAGTTCTCCATCTGGTAAAGAACTACATTTGAAGTGTACAACCTTTCTGATTTGATTATAACACTATTTGAAGTTTTCTTTTATACTCCTGCAGTTGCATCAGAAATGAGTAACTCGCTCGTTAAAATCTAAATTGCACGTATAAACTTATTTGGCTGACAGCCACGTGAAGCTGGATAACCGACAGGTAAGATAAACAGAGTTTCAAATTCTTGAACAATCCCACCCACGCCTCATAAAACCCTGAGAGACACTTGGCTATTGTTGTCTGTGGCATTTGCACTGAGCAAATAGGGCATTTGTGTGCTAAAGTGCAACCTCAGAGCATTTTCTCCCACGGAACCAAAAGGCCAAAGCAGGTGTTCAGTGACGTGAAGTGTTTACTTTGAGTCTGCCCCTCATTTCCCTCTCCTCCGTCTATGCCTCAGCTGTTGGTGAACAAGACGGGGAAGTAGATGTGAACAAAAACAAACTTAAAAGTTGTTTTCCATAGTTTGAACTGAAGCTTGGTTCTCCGGTTCAGAAGGTCTTTCATGGCCTGCATGAAAAATAAGACCCTAATAGATTTCAAACTGGTCTATTAGAAGCAGTGAGTGGTGAGGATGCATACATCATGATTACATTATAAATACATTAATTCATGTGCAATACCTGCAGCTCAAATAATGAGTCAGAAAAATGAGAGAAGCACATTTAATCTACACTGTGTAATTGTCCTTGTCCTCAAAGGGCCAGCTGTTGAAGTTATGGGAATCATGACAAGCTGAAGATTTTATTAAAAATCCAGTTGATCGAGCGCAACATACATCACATGGGCAGCTGCTTTGCTAACAATAGGTGAATGTGTGGGTGTTTAATTCCATGAGTTCACACTGTTTTGCCAGAGCCACATGTGAGTCGCCATTATACAGCTCCGGGTCAGGAACAGCCTGATGCCGCCATATAACAAGCCACTTATCAAGATACTCAGTTTCTGAATTGGTTACGAACATATTTATTTATTTAACTTTTATATTTATAGATATACATAAACGGGTTGCCAGGCAGAGCTTTAACATCTCTTTGAAAAAAAGTAAAATTATAAAAGCATGTACCATAAGTTATTTTTTAATAGTTTATTCAAACTTAGGATCAAAGAGGGAGACCTAACCAAAAAAACAAGTGGTCAAAAAGTAAAAGATGCAATAAAGAAATTAAAAAATATATATTTGCATGAGAGTACACTATTTGAGTAAGTCATGAAAGCACAAATATATTTTTTGACAAAAGTAACATATTTGTTATGCATTCACTAATTATAATCACATAAAAACTGATGTTTAGTTGTTTTTATAAGCACATTTCTTTTGAGTTTAGGTTTTTCTGTCATGAAGTGGAAACAAGTGGAATGCCCCTCTGGGTCAAGAGGAGTCTTTGCCACAGGTGAAGTTCAGGTGTCTGGGTATCCTGCTCACAAGTGATGGTAGGACAGAGCAAGAGCTGGATTGACAGATCAGGGCATTGTCCTCAGTAATGAGGGCATTGCTTTGGTCACTTCTGGTGAAAAAGAGTTGTGTCAAAAGGCAACACTTTCAATTTATTGGTCTATCCCTGTACCAAATCTCATATATGGTCATAAGGTTTGGGTCATGACTGAAAGAACAAGATCCTGGATACAAGTGACTAAAATGAGCTTCCTTCTCAGGGAGGCTGGGCTCAGCCAGGGCAAGAAGCTCCGTCATCCGAGGGGAGCTCAGAGTAGAGCTGTTGCTACCAGGACGCCTCCCTTTAGAGGTTTTTTGGGTATGTCCCACTAGGAAGTTGCCCAGGGGAAGACCCAGAATTCGTTGGAGGGATGAAAAATCCTCTCTGAGCAAGACATTCCTCAGGGTTCCCCAGGTGGATCTGGAGAGTGTCAGTGGGAGAGGGATGTCTGAGTTTCTCTCCTGGACCTGTTGCCTCTACAACCAGACAATAAGCAGAAGATGATGAAGATGGATAAGTAGTAACTAAAATATTTAGGTGTATGAGATGCTCAAAATGAAACATATATGACTAATAATAATTTTGTTAAAGTTAAAAAAAAAGATTACACCAAAAACAACCAGGTAATTATTTATTTACTTAATTTAAAAGCCTTTTTTTCAGTTTTGAATTAGGATTTTAGTGGAGCAAGTATTTTAAAGCATTCAGATTGTTGCATACAGTAAAACAAACAATCAAAAACAGGAGTAAAATAAAAATAAAATTCTAGACCCAAACTTCTATAATGTGAATTAATTTTTATTTCTATGCAACTTCACCTTTTAGTTCGTCTTAAACTATACTTGCTATTATATTCATAAACAAACAGTCTAAAAAATAAAAAAATCAACAAAAATAGAATGAGGTATTGAGGTGTCTATGAGGTTTTAAGTGAAATAAATGAGTAAAATGCACTTGACTTTTGGTTCCCATGATTTAAAATCACTAAAACTTCCCAAATTGTCAGGGAGCTGTGGCAGCAGGGGGCACTGTATTTCTTTGACAAGGGGTTAAAAGCCTGAATAGACCCACATAGCTCAGATTTGTGTACTGCAGATAGTAAAATTAACTTCTCATCACGTTATTAATTAAGTTACAACACCAACAACAGGGTGAGTTATTGGAATGCATGAAGCAGAACAGAGAGTTTGTAAGTGTTTCCTCTGTGGGACAGTCAGTTGTACTGCCACCCAAACAGTGACTGGATTTCAAACTTCAAAGTCACACACATATCACTTTGAAGGCATGAAATTGTATTCATCTACCCGCCGTTTGACCTCCATCCAAAAACCTTCCTCCTCCCTGTTCCCGTCTAAAAAAAAACAGGCCATTTTCTGTAAGCTTATTAGAGCTTTAATTGACAACTTCTGCCGCTGAAAGCAAAAAAAGTCACTGGTTGCTTTTCTAACGAGGAACAGTAATAAAGCTTCCTCCTTCAGAGGGAGAGGGCATGTGTTTCTGATGAGGCAGTCTGAACAAAGACTAAAATGTGGCAACCTGTGTTTTTGCTGGAGAAACGCTAAAGTAAATCCCCCAAACTCTCTAACAGCACATTGGTTGCTTTAGTTTACTCAGAGCGGCACAGGATCATTCTGCTGGCTGCAGCTGGTGGAGTTCTGACATTAAAGCTGATTTAAGACTCTTTTGAGTTTGTTTCGTTGCCCACAAAGGCGGGTGACAAATTGTTTTCAACTAACACATTGCGCTGCAGTTGATGACTAACGATTTGTGGGAATAGATCTGTCTTGGCTCAACAGATCTCTCTGAGGATGATGCAACGCTGACATTTTTGTACGCAGACACACCACATTAGCTTCGAGTCTTTGCAACCTGATGTGGACTTAACTTCTTGCACCTGTGTCTTCTTAAATCAGTCATTCTGCTGTATAACTCACAGCAAATGCATCTTTACTGAAACTTACAAAATAGATTAAAGCGTTACGTTTCCTGCAACAAACACTAAAAAAATAACAAGATTGTATAACTTTAGAGCACTTCCTCTATTCTCCTGATTTTTTTTTTGTCCACTTTAAACCACAATGGAAAACACCCCTCACTACTTATGCTTGATTTTCCACAGACCTGCATGTCAAAAATATTATTCCTGTTGGGAAGAAAAAAAAGGTTGTTGAGGTAAATACTTAATGAAAAGACATTTTCAGCTGATCTATATTCTTAGAATTAATAATCATATTTCTTTTCACCCATCAAGCTGTCTGTTTTTCTGCAGGAGACTGTTAATTGAGGCAGATTTCTTAAAAATGCAACACAAAAGATTATTTTGTCAGTTTTATGCTCAATAGACCGTCTTATTTTCAGAAACTGTTCACTTGTTTAAAAAAATAAGTTTTCTTTTCTGTTCTTCATCCAAACCTGGCTAAAGTCTGCTATACTCCACTTACGTCAGATACTTCTAAATACTTCCTGGTTGCCTTTGTTCTGTTTAAGATCCTGGTTTGTTGCCTCATTGTGTTAGATCTCATGCCTTAATCTGTGGTTTTACTTCAGTTTTTGCTTTTAGAATACGCATCTGTACAACCATGCAACTCCTTCATTACAAAAGATTTGATTAAGCACCAATCTGCCTCTTTAGATTTTTTTTTTGAGCAACACACACTGTTGCCTTTCTACTGGAATAACTGATTAAAAGGCAAACGTTCTGACTGATCTTTATTGCTCGACACTAAAAGGTATAACATTATTGAAATGCAACTTGAGCATTACTTGGTGATGTTGTTATGGTTCTATATGCATTGCACCCATGAATTAATAGAGCATGTGGCTAAAAAATATAATTTAAATGAACACTGTGCTTGCACATTGTGAAATTAAAACATAAAAATTGAAAGGAAACATAAAAAGGTGCTGGGTATACTTTCACTATATTAAAGTGTTTGTTTTTTTCCTCTCTGAGCCAGACATACCAGCAGCTTCAGAAACAGATTGGAACAGACAGCAGAACTGATCCAATCTATGTCTGACAAACTGTGAGATAAATGTGGCATTACAAAAATAAAAATCCCCCTGAAAATATTTGTTTTTTAAGAGAAAAACGATAAATGCATACACACTATCCAAACACGATTTTTTTCTACAAAAAAATGTAGCAATCCAGGCATTAAGATTTACCTCTTAGATATTTTTGTGTCATTTGTATTTACCGTTATTTATATGTCTAATTTTATGAATATTTAAATTTATGAAATGGAACAACAAATTGGAAATTGACGACTAGATCAGGAAGGTGGAGTGCTATAAATATATGTCAGAGGTCTACAATAAAAACAATATATATATATAAGTTTTAATATTTCAACCCTTTTACTGAATTTTAGCACAATATAATAATAACTTTGTCACAAGAATTCATAAATTGAGCAACATCACATTGTTCTGACCAAAATGTTAACAATTTCTGATACACATTGCTGATAACAAATGCATTTCCTTTTACGGGAATGAAAAGTTGCCCAACTTGCTGCTTCCTGTTGGGCCCACCTGAGGAAGCTGAGGAGTTTCCTGAGCCCAAACTGAGCAGATGATTTTCTGTTTCTCATTGAACATAACATTGATTTATAAGAGACAAAACTTGAAAGTATATTTTGTGTAAAGAAAAAAAAACTTACCTCACTAAGTCGGTCATGCATGAACCGACCACCACAACATCAAAAGCCTCCTCGGTCATGATCTGATGATTAAAACACACATTAATTTTTTTTTTTATTATTATTATTGAAAGCCTTAATTACGTTACACTCGTAGGAGAATATAAAATGTCTCTGATGTGCAACACAATCAGATTTTAGGCCGTTAATCTAAAACAGACTGGGGACATTTCAGGCAAAATATGTAAACTAGTTCTTCAAAAAGCCTTCAAACAAAAATCACTCGATTTATCTCCAACATTAGCATGAGCTTGACTGAAACTAGAAAGAAGGTAAAAATAGAGCTTTCATCGCAGGCTGAGTTGGACAAATTCCAATCTCACCGGAGGTGGATGGGGGGAATTTCAACGCTGTGCCACGTGAACGCACTATAGCCCAGTGAAGTCTGTAATTAATTCAATCCTCTGCTTGTATCCGAGCTAATGCTAGCGTGTTAATCTCCTCAAATCTCTTTATAGGCACTGGGAAACTTGGAAAGCTTGGCCGCTGGCTGTAGGATGGCTCAATTCTTTCTCCCACATCTCGCAGAGTATTGTCTTCACTCTGCAGGCGTGAAAAGTCCATCTTGAAGAGCTCAAAAAGAAAGAGGATATGAAACTGCATTTTCTGACCCCACAAAGAAAAAACATCTACTTTTATATTCTTAATAAACTATCCATAGTCAGTTATTCAACTTTAATTATACGGTTTTTCACATGAGTCTGTGTACATAAGTCTAAACTAACAGTTTATGTAAACATCTCATCCCTATAAAATAATGGAACTATGCATTTTAACCATTTATTCCTAGTGCAAATGAAATTTATTGCTGTGTGTTAAATAATTTAGACTAAATTTAAAAAAGGATCCTGATGAAACTATTTTAAAATTATGAAATTTTACCTATACACACTCAAGTGGTCAACATCTCATTAAAAAGATGTTTGTTATTACAATAGTATGACCACAGATGTATAAAATTGTGTTTTATACATTTATTAACCTTTATTTTACCATGCAGATCCCATTGAGATCACAGATGTCTTTTGCAAGGGAGGCCTGGATGGGGGGTGGAGGTGTAAAAAAATTACCGTAAAGTCCAGACTATAAGCTGCTATTTTTTTCACACACTTTGAACACTGCAGCTTATACAATGCTGCCGCTAATTTATGGCTTTATTTTATTTTTGTATGTATTTTATTATCAAATTATTATTATTATTATTACTGTTGTTGTTGTTAATTAATTTTATTTATTTATTTTATTATTTATTAACCTTTTGTTGTATAAGTTTAGACAATGAGCATAATTACCAGAATACTTTTTGAAATTGAATGTGTTAAAAATATGTTTTTAAACTGTGTAAAAAAAACCAAAAAAACATCTCTAAATAAATCACACCAGTAATGTTTAAATTATAGTTTTTGTTTCTTTTGTTTCGTTGCTTTGTTTATTCAAGAATACTTAATGATTGATTCTGAATGACCCCCAGCTGTGAATCACGTTTCATATTTCAAGACATACAATCATTCTGTGACATGTTAAATAAAAATCCTTCAACACAAAAGTCTAAACATGTAGCCACACATCAGATTTATATTTGTTTGTGTCATTAATTCAGTTTTAGAGTGATCATTAAATAAAAACAAACAAACAAACAAAAAAAAACAAGTGTGGTCTGAAGGGTGTGAGTGATGTGGTTGAACCCAGAAAGGGACAAAAAAAGTTTAATCCTAATCCACATTTAACTTTCAGGTCATCATCAGACCATTTGAACCTTTCACACCTGGTCTATACAACACATACAGTGGCACATGTCATGTGTGACTGGACTTTTTAACAACACCTGGCTTTAATGACAATTGCAATTCTACATAATTTACAATCTTTGCATCACACCTATTACAAGTAGCTGAAATTATATAATTTAACATATATGGATTTATTGTCTATTTTGTGCATGAACTGTGAATGCATCTTATGTACATCTTGGGATCTTGCGTCGTGATGTTGCACTAAAAACTCGAGCAGTACATTCAGAAGTCACATTTTGTCTAATGGAGCATTTTGTGATAAATAGCGACAAATGATCAAGTAGAATTAAATTAGTTTAAAACAGATGACCACAAGCGTTAACTAAAGTGTCTTTAGACGAACTGTCTGAGTGAATGTTACCCCAAAATTACCTTCAACTCAAATGTGTTCTTTCAGAGTGGACATCTGAACAGCGACGGTCGAAGTGCAGTGAGAGGAGTGAGTGACAGCTACGTGACATTTTAGCTACTGCCAGACTTATTTTCTTATCATTTAATGATATGTTATTAATTAAATTAATATTTCGTAACTTTAGTATACTTATAAAATCTAAAAAGGCGTTATAAGCTTTATTTATACGATAAAAACTGTTTTAAAATTTAAAAAATGTATTTTTAACAACAGGCACTATTATAGACAGCTAAACACAGGGGCCATATTCAAGACCCAAATAGGAAATACCGGAAAGTTTGACAGCATGAAGTAAACATTGAAGTTAACGCTCAGATAAACACAATTCTGTTTCTCTCAGGTATTTTTACGCGTATATTATTGTATATTAAAATATATAGAACATAATAAATCACGATTCGTGTGCTCTAAATTTTAAATTGTTATTAATATAACGAGAAGAAGAGAAGCAGGTTAGCACTCTCAGCTAATGTTTATCCGTGACAGCTTCCTTTTAGATACTTTGATCAACTGTTAAGCTTTGAATTTTACACGTATTCGAATAGTTATGGGATTATATTATACAAAAATGTCACATCTTATTTTCGTAAAGATCTGCACAAATTTAACGCCGATCTTTATTGATGATGGGAGTCAGATCGCTGTTGAAGTCTTAGCATATCCTCAAAACTCAAGTGATTAGATGTTGACAGTGTGGAAGCCTATTTACGAATGTAAAATGAAATTCCTTGCTTCTTAGACCACTCTTGGCATAATTTGAGACGAACAAATCTGAGATATTCTTGGAATATTTTTGTGTCACTAGGAGGAAAAACAAAATCCAATGAAAGGTAAATTTCGTCCATATATTTAGATCGTCATCTGTTCTATTGGTGTCATCAGGTTACTTGATCTTTTTCTTCTAAAGTTTAAGCATTGTGTTTCTTAACAAGTTACATTCAATATGCTTTTGTATGCCCTTAGTGGTTTTCCTTAAAGTTTTATAAACGAATTAAATGCTTATAATTCGTTTAATGCAGTTTCAACAATCTCATTGTTTGTTTTGCCTCTTTGACACAGTATATTTTTATGTACAGCTACTCACTTCAGGAGATGAAGTTTAGTTATTTGTAAAATTTGTCTGCAATATGATAACAGAATGCTTTATTTTGTCTGCTGGAAAACCAGGAAAATATTTGTCTTGAAACCTACTTTAAAACACACAAATGAGTCTTCATATTTGCAAAAGATTGACAAATAGACTAAACAAATTACCTCGTGTTTCGTCCAACGCAAACAAGAGATTTTATTTATATGAATTCAGAATTATTTCTGGAATTAATAATTCTGTAATGAATTGAATTAAATTAGGAATGTGTGTTGCAGTACTGTATTGTTTAGTTTGATATCAAGTGATTATCACCAATTTTGTTTATGCAAACAAGATTAAAAAACAAAAAAAATCAGTAGCACTTCTATGGTTTTTGTTGTAAAATATTGTTTTAAGATAATGACTGTTAATGGTTGCTGTGTTCCCACTAACTCCTAAGAGTGGATACAATGAACAGCATGTCGCCTGAAGTTGCTCTGCACCGTATCTCTCCTGAGCTGCGTCCTTTGCTGAGCAGCGTGGTCAGGAATGGACAAGTGGGGCTCGACTCTACCAACTGTCTGCGGGTCACAGATCTCAAAACTGGGTGAGGCTGAGCTCTCAATTACAGGTGTACGAGCTTAATTACAACGTCCAGTCTGTTGTTTCTGCATTCTCAAAGATAGGTGAAACATAATACTAATTAACTAGACTTTCAGCTTTTTCACTTGTAGTATGCATTCATTTAAGATTTTAGGTGAATAACACCTGACAGAACATGACATTATTTAATATATGAGAAAAATTAAATGTAACAAATAATGCCGTCAGCGACATATTCACCAAAGTATCCAGTCTTCATTTTAGACAAAAAGTCACTGTAGATATTAGCATTGTTGGAAAAAGTAAATATTGGTTCTATTAAATTTAAAAATATATATTTTAGCACAAAACAATCAAGTATCAGTTTGTACTATTTTAAAATGAGTGCATCTTTAAAAATGTCTTAATGTAGTGTTGTTGCAGGGTTAAGGTGATTGTGTGTTCTTGCTGAATATGTTGTGACGTTTGAATCCATCTTTGTGTACAGATGCACATCTCTGACTCCAGGTCCTTGCTGTGATCGCTTTAAACTTCACATTCCATATGCTGGAGAAACCCTGAAATGTAAGTTTCAGTTTTATTATATAAATACAAGGTGTCTAATACTTGTTCAGCAAATAGCTTAATTTTCTTTCATTCCTGGGGTAGATAACTAAGCAAACATAAGTCACAGTCAAGTGGCAGCAGCAGGAAGCGGGGCCAGCCATGGTTCTTCAAGAGCTTCAAATTGAACTTTTTTTGTGCACTTGCGTGCAGCTTTATATTCCCAATTGAAATGGCAGCAAACACTAATTTAAGTGGAACAGTGTGACATCTAATCAGGATGATTGTGCTGTGTGCGTGCTGTGATTCCAGTTTCAATTTTGATTTGTCCACTCTTACTATAAAATCTGAGCAGAGACAAGATTTAAATTAGCAAGTTAGCAGCTGTGTTCAGGTTAATTGAATAATTGTCTATATCTTTGGGTCTATAGTGTGAAAAAATGTACCAGCTGAATACATTTTCTTTTATTAAGAATGTGTAAACCCATCCATGATCATTGTGAAGATAAGTCACAGTTGCTTATTTTAAAGTGGTTTAAAGGTCAACCAAAGAGTCATATCATTTTATTAAAGCATGCTAAAGACTGAATAAAGACCCATTTAGATCCTGTCCCCCGGCACAAATAGAGTAATATTGTGTATGCTGTTCAGTGTCAGGAGGGTGATCAGTCTTACATCGGGGAAACTAAACAGCCACTGGCCAAAAAGATGGACCAGCACAGAAGATCAACATCATCAGGCCAGGACTCTGCGGTCTACACTCATCTCCAGGCCAGCGGTCACTCTTTCAGGGATGAAGATGTGCACATCCTGGATAGAGAGGAACGATGGTTTGAGAGAGGAGTAAAGGAGGCCATCTTTGTGAAAATAAACCATCCATCATTAAACAGGGGTGGAGGCCTCTGTGTTCAACTGTCACCCTCTTACAATGCTGTGATTGCTAGTATCACTCAGCCCCCTGTGAATAGTAAACAGTCATCAGTGTGCTCATGATCCATTGTTAGGCTGATGGTTCTCCTTTATCATGTGATCAGCTGGTTTTGGTTGTCAGCAGCAAACTGGTTGATCCACTCTGAGAAGGTGCTATTTAAGAGACTGAGCTGAACACAGCACCTCAGACTGAAAGTCTTTTGGATGAAAGACGAAACGTTTCTACTTTTTTGGTTTGTTTTGTTTTTTGAATGTCCAGAGGACCTGACTTAACTTTTTTTTTAGATTTTTCTACCTGGATTATTGAACATGCATCAGGATACTGAATGAAGACATTGGAGATTTTAAAGCAGCCTGAATAAAGTCACATTCTGTTTCACTCAAAAGCAGCAGTAGGATGTTTGGTAAAACATTCTTAAGCTTAGTGAGCAGTGAAATAAAAAAATAAAAAAACAGCCACATAAATCTATTAAAGCATTCTTCTTGCAGACATGCTTAATCATTGAAACAACACCAGTAAACATCCTGTTCTTTGTGCCACTTAACTTTTACTGGTGGGGTCTAACACTTCTTAATCAAGTCCTCACAACTGTCTTTTCTTTCTGAATATGTGCAGTGGAGAATATTACTCAGTGTAATCTCGTAAATTAAATTAATTTCAACCTGTTTTCACTAAAATGACGGTGACTCACAGGATGATGCCAGTCTTTGTGTGTGCACGTCATGAAATTAATATATTAATTTACTCTGATTACAATTTGACTTCAGTTGATTTTTATATTTGAGGCTTTGGAAAGAAAAAAAAAATGTTTCTTGAAGGTTTTTATAGTGGCAACTTGAAAAAAAAAATAACTTTCACAAAAATCACAGTTTCGATTATTTAGTTAGGCTTGCAGGAAGCCTTATTATATTATACTAATGTAACTAATGTTTCATATATTCACATTCATCTGAGTCTTTGAGCACATTTGTGTGTCTGCTTTCCTAATTCAGTGCGTAACAAATCAAAAATGTGACAGAGTGGTGAAGTAGGTTTTTGAAGCTTACAAATGCCTACACAATAAACAAATGCCAACAATAACTATGCAAAAATAAATAAAAGAGAATCATATTTGCCAGCTCAGGTTATTAAATGTGGAAATTTCTATCTTTTTGTGTATTAAGTTTGATGTAAATGTGGCCTTGTTTAGGGAGAAACTTGTGGCAGATTAGAGGAAGTAGGCTTTGCTTATTTTGCACAAAACGCGGCTCAGGCAGAAGTGGTTGTGAGCTGCGGCAGGAAGTTGTGGCTAGACTTGAGGAATGTGCGTATATGATGTATAAATCCTGTAAAACATTTTTAAAATCCTTAATACTTCAGTTACAAAATCATGTGATGAACTTATATCAAGTCAGTAAAAGCACAAAAGTAGGTGTGAATATTGTGGTTTTCTGTTACAGTTGAGACTTAATGGTCTTAAATGTTAACCATCAAATATATGAACTGTTTGAAACTCATCTTGAACTTTGAGCTTTAATACTATCCTTGCAAAAGCTTGTAATAAGCATTGATTATTTTTTCTACTTAACAAGCTATTTTATGCCTTGGTGGTGGCTAATGAAAAAAGCCTCCATACATCCCAGCTGACCTGATATAATTTACATTTCACCTCTGCTAAAGGTTTGCGAGAGTGCAAAGCCTTATAGATTTTTACTTATGAAGAAAGCTATTGTACTTGAAGAATAATTTATTTAACAACAAGTAAACAAAAATAATTACACGGGCCTTCTTTCATGGCACACATCAATATTACTGCTGTTTTTTTTTTCTGTGCTTTGGCCTGAAAGAAGTTTGTTAAACTGATAATTCAGAAGTGCAGATTGGCCTTTTATCTATTAATGCATTTCCAGCCCCCTTCCACCCAAACACCGTGGCTGGAACAATAAACGTTGTGTCCTTTGTAGTTGTACCCACTGTGTCCTTATAAATTCGGGGAAATAAAAAAAAAAAAAAAAAGAAGTAAAACTTTGCAAGGGCACATTCTGAATAAACTGTTCTTGGAAGGGTTGTTGTCTCAGCATGTTTGAACAAAGCAGCACATAAAGGCCTCGGTTGTAACCTGTAAAGTTTGATCTTAAAGTTGTCTGTTTCTGTCTGGAGCCATTAAAGCAGGACTTTTCTTTCAGGCTCCTAGTGGTTTGTATTTCAAATACATCCTCTCATTTCCTCGTTTGTCTCTTCTCCACTGGGAAAATACTTCCATATGTGCATGTTTCTCGGCTCTTGCTGGAACAACAAAAAAAGCAGATAAGAGCAGGCTTGTTGCACGCACATTGCATCTTATCAGAACACTGAACTAGCTGAGTCTTATATGATGTCTTTGACTGAGCACCTTCTCTAAAATAGCTTTGCTTTTACTTGTTTAAACAATTTTTATTATAGTGTTGTAGCATTGGATTTAAAAATAATCCACACATTTTGAACTAATTTATAAAATTGTTTGGATGTTAACCCAAGTACAAGTTCTAGACAGATACAATGTAACAAAACTAAAAATGCATACACTTGTTGGCACACTCTGTTTTATCCATCAGTCCATCTCCTGCTGTTTATCTGAGGCAGGGTTCTCAAGGGCAACAGCTTAAGACGACATCCCCAGCCCTCCCTCTCCCTATCCACTTCCTCCTGCTCATGTGTGGGGACTCTGAGAGTCTCAGGCCATCTGTGAGATTTCTGTCGAGAGGGTCAGGAATTTCATATCATTGTAACAGAGACAAAAAATCATTTGTTATCCCAGAGCCATCATAACACCTAAATCTGATTATTTATCCCAACAATTCAAATGTTCTAAAAATCTTATTATACAATAACCTTTGTGTGCATTAATTTTTAACAGTGAAATCTGCAGCTATAAGTGTACCAACCTTGTTTTGTAGCGTTTTATTTACTGCTGATTACTGTTTTCCCCAGTGTTTTTCATGTTAATAAGGGATTACATTGTTCAACTTTAGTTAGCTTTTTCCAGAAATGCATATATTTGAAAATTATCTTACAAAAATGGTTTATTAAAATGCATAACCATTAGTTAAAAAGAAACATTTACACAATTTATTTTCTTTTAGGGGATATTATCTTCAATGCACAATATCCAGAACTACCTCCAGATTTTATTTTTGGAGAAGATGCAGAGTTTCTCCCTGAACCCTCAGAGCTGCCAGTGAGTAAAATCTTGATTTGTTACAGTTAGACTTACTATTTTATTGTCATGGCTGTTTCTGAAGGATATATGATGTATCAGTTTTGTATTTTTATTTGTTTTAGTCAGATCTTTAGAAAAGCAACATATTCATTCATACATTTTTTTTTATGTTGCAAGTCATTTTTTTAAAAACTTGTTTATCATTAAATTTGATAATTTCTGTGATGCTGTGATTCACCTAAAACCTAGCCTAAACATAACAAATGGTTCATAATGGGTCTTGTATGAAAGAAAACACAGCCTATTGACTATTCTTAGATTAGCAGTCTTCTTCATATTTGATTTAGCAGATTTTGAGGTTCTTGTTAATGGGTGTCTTCTAGGAAATTTACCAGTAAAACTTCATAGAATTTGTTTACTGTTCATTTTTGTCATTATTTCTTTAACAATATTATTAGCTTTCTGTTTGACTGTTTCTAAGAATTAATTTCCAGTCTTTTATGTTTTGTTTTGTTCCTGACATTAATGCAAATGTTGGTGCGACACAGACTTTAAGTGGACTTGGAAGTTTTATTTTTATCTTTCTTCAGTTTCTCAGCATTGCTAGCATGTTTCTCTGAATGGTACTGGTGCATCCCAAGAAATTAGAATATCATGAAAACGTTACATTTCTTTTGTCTATCATTTCAGAAAGTGAAACTCATATATTACATATATTCATTACACACAGAGTGAAATATTCCAAGCCTTTATTTCTTGTACTTTTCATGATTATGGCTTACAGATAATGAAAACCCAAAACTCAGTGTCTCAGAAAATTAGAACGTTACCAGCTGTTGGTACCTTTGTCAGTGTGAGCAGGTGTCAAGTCCTGCTGGGAAATGAAATCAGCATCTCCATAAAGCTTATCAGCAGAAGAAGCATGAAGTGATCTAAAATGTGCTGGTAGATGCTGCGTTGACTGTGGACTTCAGAAAACACAGTTGACCAACACCAGCAGAGAACATGGACCCAAACCATCACTGACTGGAAACTTCACTCTGGGCTTCAAGCAACATGGATTCTGGGCCGCTCCACTCTTCCTCCAGACTCTTGGACCTTGATTTCTAAATGACATGACCATTTACCTTAATCTGAAAATAGGACATTGGACCACTGAGCAACAGTCCAGTTCTGTTCTATGTTGTCTCTGGTTCAGACGTGGCTTGACCCAAGGAATGAGACATTTGTAGCTCATGTCTAGGAGTTAATCAGCTGATCAGGGTGTGACACCATGAGTTTCCAATATTGAACCTCGTCACAATGTTCTAATTTTACGAGACACTGAATTTTTTTAAAACTTTCTCACATTTTCACAATGTTCTATTTTTTTTTAAATACACCTGTAATGGAGTTGTACAGCCAATCTGAAGCTATTTATAACTTGTAATATATTTATAATATTTTAGTCAGTTTATTTAGTTCAGCCATATTTCATTAATGACATTTCAATAAAACATCTGAAGTACTACCGTAACTCCTTTTTTTACTTTTACAAATTCAGACCTATTATTAACTATGCGGTAACCTGGCACATCCCCTTTTTTCATTTAATAAAAACTTGTTTTAATTTGAAATTGTCATGTTTCAATCATCCATGTAATCTGAATCTAAAGTCTACTTTTATTAGGAGACCTGTGAGTTTGCAGGCACATTGCTGCACAGACCTTCACAATACTCTGATACAGGTCTTGACAGTTTTGGAGAAGTTACCGTGGCGGCAATAATAGGATTTTTCATGGTTGTGATCTCTTGGTAAAAAGTGGAAGTAGAGTTCAGGCTGATGTTAATACTAGGCATGTGCACTTGCACATGTGGATTGTGCACAGCAGTATCTTATCAGATGCTTCATAGTATTAAAAAAAAAAAAAACTTAATTTGCAACATTACTGTTAATATTGTCATGACATTATTTATTCAGATACTCAATTGCATCATTTAGTCAATTACAGAATTACTGTACAGCTTCCGTTAAAGCTTCAAAACGAGATTACTATTTATCTCAGACCACCAAAGGTCTGAATGACCCTAAGAGTTTCTGGCAACATCCAATCTTGTCAAACAATCAAAACATTCAAATATTGTTGATGGTTCCTTTTTTTTTTAACCCTTATTGGTCACACCCCTACTATATTTGACATCATTTAAATTATTGAGGGTGGGATTTATTAAGAGTTTTTGCAGCCTTGCTTCATTTGTACTTTCTGTTCTGTTAAAATGGTAATGTCAGTGCTCACATGGGACTTTGAAGGTAACAGGTTTGAAGTAACAGGGTTCCCAAGGAAGTGTCCCAGTCTGTCATTAGTGTCTTCAAACGTTTCCTTTTGGTATAGGTGACCTTTGAAACATTTGCAGTTTTATGAGGGGACTTGTTTTTTTGTTTTTGTTGAAATGCCTCACTTTGTAAAATCAGGGCAAATTCTCCATCTATTGGTATTTTGGTTTTTGAGTTACTTACTTAAAAAAACACAAACTCATTAAAGCTCATGTTCTTTCGGTGAACAGGTTATCCAGACATAGATTCGCAGTTCAATCTATTTATGTTGAAAATTGTATCTTGAAAACCTCACATTACACTCAGTCTTACTGTCATTGAAGTGTCTCGCACAGAAACAGTATATTAGAAACACATTGTAATATTCTTTTACCACATTAAGTTTAAAAGGTTTGCTTATAATTACTGCCCATACTACGAATGCATCATTTTCAATCCATCAGTTACACATTAGCCCAGATGTAAAACATACACAACTTTTTTTTTTTTTTTTATTCAGCTCAAAATAAGAGTTTATATAAATGAATGGGTTGACCAAAAAAAAAAAAATCCTGTGATTAGAAACACATTTTATTAGGAAAATAGGACATATTTTTCCTTGTTTGTTGTATCTTTTTTTTTCCCCGTGATATTTCTAGCATATTGATTCTAAAAAGTGTGAGTACTGTATTCATTTTGCATTTACAGTAAATGTTTGTACTTTGATGTCAAAAATGTGCTCTGAAGTAATCAACAGCATAAAAATGAATCTGAAAGTGCCTTCCTATTTTAAATTAAATGTGTGTGAATCTTGGATTTGCCTTCAGAAGACAACAATTAGTACACTCACAATTTTAAGAAACATGGAGTATCCATGATAAATGTTCAATTAGAGCCATCTTAAAATTCTTACATCCTAAAATCTATAAATTGTATAGTCATTCAATCAAATGTTTGTTGTATTACCTGTAATGTGATATTTTAGTGGGTAAAAATCAGACTTTCTGAAAGCTCTATTCCAAGTAGTGTTTACCTTTCCTGACAACTGTATCAGTAAACTTCTCTGCTTCTCCAAACTGAGAGCATGCTGGTGGAAGTTTGTTGCAGGGAAAACACTAACTAGTCTTAAGTCATTCACACAAACCTGCTTTGAATATGTTGAGCAAACGCTAACACATGTCTCCATTTAAAGAAAGCCAACATACAGTACTAGCCATAGTGTGATTTGTTATTCTTCTACCCTTATATGCATTGTTATATCAATTTTTAACAATGTAGTGAACATAAAATAATATTAGGAAAAGAATGCTTGGTTTTTCGACTTGGGAGGAAATATAAAACCTTTGGCTTACTTTACAGGCTACTATACATTGCTATTTTTGAAGCAGACTAACTTGGTGAAGCTAAATTCCCCTGCTTGTGTCAGAGTCTGGGAGAGGAGAGGGCAGAATTGCTCACTGTCTCATAAATCCAGCTGTGCACATAAGGGGAAGTACCTCTGCTCAGCTAGCGCTCATGGCTTGTTTATTTTTTCACTTATACTCTTGCTGCGTTTTCGCACTTATGGCTTTCATAATCTGTCTTTGCGTGCCTTTCTGCCCCAAATCCTCCTTTCCCACTCCCTCCCTCCTTTTTCCTGTGCATTTTCAGTAAAGACGTCCCCCTCTTGCTAATAAAAACTTCTGGATTCCAAGCAGTTCCTTTAATTTTCCGCTCATATCTCTTGGGAATTTTTTAGACAGCAGACTCCATAATACTGGAGCAGCTATCGGTAAAACAATTCAGATTTATCCAACATTTAAGGAGCCATAATAATTAAATGATCAGAGTCTGCATGTTATTGATGAGGGAACTAACGTTGGATCCCTGAACTAGATGAATAGTAGTCTGCAGAAAGTAGAACTCACATGATTGTGGCCTTTGTTATCCAGTGAAGGTAAACATTAGGCTAATTTTAGGTCCTCTGTCAGTGGCTGCTGAGATTCTTGATGTCTCAACAACACATTGCTCCTGTTTACATCCAGCCAAGGGTATCATTAGCTTCTCTGTTTAGACTTGTGTTTTTCCCTGCTGTCACCAGGACTCGAGATGGTTTGTTATACTGGTTTCTGTTTAGACAGAGAAATGCATTGTTGCTTCAAAGAGAAAGTCAGGATAAAACACGAGATGCATTGACTGGTCAGTGCACTTATTATGGTATGATTGTTTGAAATCACAAGTCTTGACAATTCTTTTAGCAAAAAAAATGTGTCCCTTTCTTGCAAAGTAAACCTCCAAAAAAGCAAGTTTTGAATATGAATATTCTTGAAAAAAACAAAACTAAGTCAGTTTATATTATCATGTTTGTGATAACATTGCAAACCTTTACAGGTATAGTTTAATTTATTTAATGTAAATTTTGGAGCTGATAACTTTAAATTAATTGATAGAAGCTACATTTTATGACTCTTGTATACATAAAATAATACGTTTGATTTGCCACAGCCTTTGCAAATAAGTTCTTATGTAGAGAAAATGTTACATGCAAGATTAATTACTTTTTTTAATTCACTGAGAATTAAAAAGACCAAAAGAATGACTACAGTTTTAGAAAAAATCCTAAAGATGTGTTTTCCTTAAATGTGATCATGGCTGTTCTTGTCTTCTGCTTCAACATTTTGTCAACACTTCAGATTGCGACACAGGACAGAAGAAAGTCAAGATATCAGTCGTGGCTTTTTTTTTT